AAACGTCTGTGTAGTTTGTGATTACAAAAATGTATACTTAAAATATATGAAACGTTGCTATTACAATTATCTATTGATTTATCTTACAATAAAAAATTGTGTTTTACTGCTCAGACGAATTATTATGATATGTAATACCAAATTTTTCGACAATAGTTATATCTTTTGGTCCAACAATTATCAAAAATAATTTCCAATTTGTCCATGATTAAGTTAACGCTTAAAAATGTATATCGCATACAAATAATAGTTTTTGGTGGGATACATGCGTTTATTTCATACACCGACACCCACGACCTCATAAAATTTAAACAAAAAGGTAATTGACCCCTTAAAGTGTAAACAAAGTTGAACAACCGATATCGGATCACTATAAGATATTGCTTACATACAAAGTGATACAGGGTGGCTGATGAAATCCGCTACCAAAAAAAATTAAATTACTTTTTTTCTATTTACTTCTATTAATCTGGTTAATTTTTTTTTATTTTGCAGATTGACTTTTACATTTAACAAAAATGGATAACTGGGACACTGTAACAAGAATTTGGATTGTCCGCCGCTATCACGCACTGGAGAGTATAGGCGCACGTTTGGCGGCAATCCTCCGAGCAGATGGACCATAAAGAGACTTGTAAATTTTGCCGAGCATGGGACAGTCAACAGAAGACCTTACCATCGAAACCCTTCAGTTCGAACGGAGGAAATAATCGCTGCTGTAGCTGCTGTCATACAAAACAATCCACGTGTTTCGACAAGAAGCTTATCTGCTCAAATGGGTGTAAGCAAACAGTCATTACAGTCAATTATTCACAAAGATTTGGAATTATTCCCATATAAAATTCAAATGGCCAACAAACTGAATGCTGCAGACTTGCCGATTCGCTTGGAATTTCGCTAGAAGATGCTTCAAATGGTGGAAGAGGATGGAAACATGTTGAACTGTCTTTTCGTGTCTGACGAGAACCATTTCGATTTAAACGGCAACATGGACAAACAAAATTCTCGAATATGGAGTGCTTCCAACGCACAGATACTCCATGCGACGGAATTGCACCCACTTCGTGTCACAGTGTCGTGTGCAGTTTCATCACTCTGCATTGTCGGGCCCTACTTCTTCGAAGAAAACGGTCACACCGTTACGGTTACTGGAGACCGTTAGTTGATCATGTTGAGAGAGTTTTCTATCCAGAATTACGCTGAACGAGAATTTCTTGCAAGATGGTGCAGCTCCTCACATAGCCCAACCTTTTATGACAGAATTGCGACGAAAATTTCCCAATAAGCTGATATCCAGAAACTCCACATTCCGTTGGCCACCCAGGTCGCCTCACTTTACTGCACCTGACTTTTTCTTGTGGGGTTATTGCAAACGGGAAGTATGCAAAGCAAAACCAACAAATTTGAATGAAC